TTTCTTTACATTAAATTTCAATCCATGCTGAATATTACATCATGATAAACAGTGAAAAGATTCAAATTGTCAAGGATTTCATCATGTGTGTCTACAACCAGTGCTTTTGGAAATAGCAGTCAATATATTAAATGACACACGCAATTAGGTAAATATGTTCCACAAGGTGCATTTGAAGTGTTGAAAAGTAAGGAGGCTACTTTGAGGACTAAGGTTCCTTGACCCAAGGTATGGTATTTTCAGTCACCTCTTATTCATGTGAAAGTTAGACATTGAATAAAGAAGACTTAAGAAGAATCAATGCTTTTGAATTACGGTGCTGGTGAAGAAGACTGAATGTGCCATAGATTGCCAAAAGAAAAAACAAATCTGTCTTGGAGTAAGTATAGCCAGAATGTTCCTAAGAAGCAAATCTGGAGAGCCTTTGTCTCATACGTTATCAGGAGAGACCAGTTCCTGGCAAAGGACATCATGCTTGTTGGAGTAGAGGACAGTGCCAGAGGAAGGCTCTAAACGAGGTGATTAACACAGTGGCTGCAGCTTTGAGCTCAGACATAACATCTGTGAGGAGAGTGCAGGATGGCAGTGTATTGTCCATTCTGGTAGCTGTAGGGTCATTATGAATTGGAACCTAGTTGATGGCACCTAACAACAATAGCAACAGTCAATAAAACACAAGTAAACATCTTTCTGGTATTCTTTGCTTTTAACCAAGCTTCATTTCTGGCAGCCCCTGTCCATATCTTGTTGCAAACACTTTTGGATTATCTTCAGGAATATTAGTGTTCAATAATTTCCACACTCTCCTGGGTCACTGATCCCTTCCTGTTGTTTAGCCAGATAGCCCTCTTCCAAATTTCTTGGCATAGAAAATGAGTGCTTCAGTGTTGCATGAATTAGAATCATTTCCCTTGCTAGTCCATCCAATTCCTGTTGACTTGGTTTTCCTCCTGCTGTTGTGCAGCACCCATCAGTACCATCAGTTCTGGATCATATGCCACCTCTTGGAATGTTGTGTGTTGACCAGTTCTTTGTTTCACAGTGACTGTACGTTCTTTCCCTATTCTTTTGCTTCTTCCAGAATTGTTCAATATTTTGCCCATAGAATCCTTCAAATAAGGCAAGTTGAGGCTTGAATTTTTCCTCTAGTTTTTTTTAATTTGTGATGCGTTAAGTATGTTTTTACTTTGTGGCATTCTTATGCCATGTTTTTGAATATTTTATTATAACATTTCTTTTTTTCATTAGTTGCTCTTTGAAATTTTCTGGGCAGGGAATTAATTTCATCACTTCTTTTTCCTTTAGCGTCTCTATCTTGGATATCAAGTTTCATAGTCCCTTCTGATGTTCATTTTCATTTTCATTCATGTTCATTTTCACGTTTCCTTCATTGTTGTCTTTTAATTACCTTTTACTTTTAATGACCCCATACCTTCCTTCCATTTCCTGTCAGAAGATTCAACATCTCCTACCAAGGGGGAGACCAATTCCTGTAGAAGGGCTTTGTGCTTGTTAAAGTGAAGGAGCAGTGGAAAAGAGGAAGGCTCCAAGTGAATTGGATTGACACAGTGACTGTGTCCACAGGCTCGGGTATGGGATGGATATGAGGGTGGCACAGGACCATGCCACCTGTTGTGGTTAGTATGGTTGGAACAAACTCCATGCCACCCCACAATGGTCCCTTCTAAGAGCTCAAGGAAACTCAAGCAAAATCAATGAAATCAAAAGAATGTGCAGAATAATTCAGGAAAATAATACAAGAAAAAGTTACTGAGCTTGTAGAGAATCGGAAACTGCACAAAAATTGTTATTAGAAATCAGAGCAATTAGCACTAAAATTTTGGAAATAACACATCAGAAGGACAAAAACACCTAGAATCACAATTACAAATGAATCAATGAATAAGAAGAAAGTTTCCACTACAGCAACTTATTTATGGGAAGAAAAACCAGAAAATATACTGGGGAAAAAGGCAAAGAAAGCCTAATTTTGTAGAACAGTATTAAGGGGAGATTTTTATGTGTAATCAGAATGCCAGAAGGAGGGAGGTAAATAAAACCATTGAGAAAATTGTTGAAGATTTGCTAACAAGAAACAAAGCTTTCTTAATATTATGAAAGATGGATCAATATTCATCCCACAATTAAGAAATGATCTATAATGTTCTCTAACTTAAAATTACAAAGAATTCTATAAGGTGAACCAGAGGTTTGTGTAAAACATAGATATAGAAATGTATTTGGGGCTCACACTTAATCTTTGCTCCTTAGTGCTTAGACATGGCCCTGCTCAAAAGATATACACACTCATGAAGGAAACATGGAAGATATGAGTGTAACCGCAATGTGTGCTGAAGAAACTAAATGGTGCCCAGCTATCAGAAAGAATAGCATCTGAGGTCTTTTCAAACAAGCAACCATCTAAGTGAGATGTCAATTAAGCGACATGGAAGAAGCACACCAGCCTGAAGGAGGCAAAGATTGTCAATGATATAATCAAAATCAAAAGCAGGGTATGGTATTGGCACTTAAATTATAAAATTCTAATTTGCAGAAGTCTCTGAACGACAGTGGAAACCCATGATACATGTGTAGCTTCTACACAAAGAATAACTGTCAGGTGGCTTTCCTCTCACTGTAATTGAGCAATGGGAATAGCTTGGTTATCAGACTGAGAGTATTGTAGAGACAATAGTAATAGATTAAACTGAAAAAAATCTGTTTTTAATGGTTAAAATCTTATCATTTGGTCTCCTTTTAAATACATTTTTCTATATTGTATTTCATTAGTGTTGGTAGCCTTGTTGACTCTCTGTTATGCATATTTATTATTTTTCCCTATAGAGAACCCAGGATGGATGAATCTAAATCTAGATGAATGTTTCTGGGTGGGTGCAGCAGGAGAGGTGAGGGAGGAATGGGGAGCTGGTAACAAGGAGAATAAGAAAGAAGAAAATATTTGAAACTGAGTGTAGTAAAGACTGTACAACACTTCTTGATATGACTGAACAATTCAGTTGTATTATGTCTGGATTATGCCCTCATGAAATGGTTTAAAAAAATAAGGAAGGAGACACAATGACTCAGTAATAAACACAACATCAACAATAAGAAAATGGGAAGAAAATAAAAAAATAAAGTTAATTTGGCATAAAAATTTGTAGAACAAAAAAGCGTTGATATCATAATAAAATCACTACAAATGATAGTAGTAATCCATGAATATGATTAATTACACTGGATATATATGCATTAATTGTACAAGTCAAAAGAAAAAGAATAGAATAGTGGACTAGAAACAGGATCCATCAATATGCAAATACTCCCTGGACATAAAGTAAAACTAATAAAAAATTGAAGAATGAAAAAAATGTATA